TCTTCTTCTCTGCCTCTCTCTCTCTCTCTCTCTTCTCTCTCTCTTCCTGCCTCTCTCTCGCTCTTTCTGTCTCTCTCTCTTTCTCTCTCTCTCTCTTTCTGGCTCTTTTCCTGCCTCTCTCTTTCGCTCGTCTGACTTTCTTTCTGTCTCCCTCTCTCTCCCCTTCTCTCTCACTCTCCTCTCTCTTCCCCTTCTGTTACGAACAACACTTGTCTGAATTCGCCGCCTCCTTGGTCACGAAAAACGAATATTAAATACTGACATTAATTGTTATAGTTTATATTATTATTATTATTATTATTATTATATATTGCAATATCACGATCATCATATAGTATCAGCTAGTGTGGCGACAGACGTCTTCGATATGACGTCATCACACGTGACTGGTGACACAAGGTATTTAATCGTTACGCGCCATCACAACAAGCTTCCTGTCTGCGCATGCGCGCCTGCATCTATACAGACACGCAGTTACAGGTGACACAAGCGGACACTGCGCTCTATTAGCTCATCATCATCATCATCATCATCATCATCATCATCATCATCATCAGCAGCAGCAGCAGCAGCAGCATCGTCATTAGCATTACCTGTCGCCGCAGACACACTCGCAGGTGCTGCGCATGTTTACATCGCGTTCTCGCATTGATTCGCTCGCGTTCCCATGGGTAATTCACTTACGCCGCCCCGCGCGCGCACACAACACACCCTCACCCCACGTTAGTGAGCCGCGTGCGTGCGTGCATACTGATCGCTGAAATACAAGTCTATATCTGTGTAGCAGCCGGCTGGTCGTGTTCCGCCGCATTGTATGCCCCGGACATCGTATAATTGGCGCACGTTCCTATACTTACCCTCGCCGCCGTGTGTGTATGCGTGGCCGATGGATATGACTCGATAGGCGGACTCGTTTCTCTGCAGTTCGTGGATATGCACGGTTCGTGGATATAGCGACCGTGGACAGGTGCGAACATGCACTTACACATCCGATGTACACACGCACACACACACACACACACACACACACGCACGCACACACACACACACACACACACACACACACACACACGCACGCACGCACACACGCACACCCACACACATACACACACCTCTAAGCTTCATAACATTACACTCAGTCCTTCATTATAGCTGTAGAACAGGCCAAGCACTGATCATAATCGTTTTTCGTAAACATTCTAATGAACGTCATGATAATTAAACGCGGAAAAGCTACTCTCTTTCTATATCACACGAACATCAGCGCATTGTGGGTTTCGATAGCATAGCTGCGCAATCATAGTCACATAATACGTACATATAAACGCCGTGTTTGTAAGGGGATTTTGGGCTCAATTTGCTGTCATTCCGCTGTCAGTCATACACGTATTGATGACAATATACTAACAGTGATTGTGTGAGATTTTGACAGTATAATATCCGTGATGTAAAGGACCGTGAAATGTACACTCATTTCCCACGCAACAATAGTTCCTTATGATAACAACGGCTAGTTATATAATTATTGCGTAACGTAATAGCTTGTCTAACGCCTGTGACCTCGATAATGTTGAAGCAACCATTATTAAACTTGTACAATAACACTCTCCTGAAATCTCACAGACAGATTGAATAGTAGGATGAGAGAAAACATGCTTGCGAGAGCCAGAGAAAGCCAAAGAGAGAGAGAGCGCGAGAAGGAGCAGAGAAAAGACGCGAGCGAGAAGAGAGCAGACGAGAGAGAGAGAGAGAAGAGAGAGAGAGAAGAGAGAGGCAGAGGCAGAGAGAGACAGAGAGAAGAAAGAGAAGCGAGAAGGAGGAAAACGAAACAGAGGATGGGACTAGATAGAATAGATAGATAGATAGTGGATATATAGATAGATATATAGATAATAGATAGATAGATAGATTAGCAAGCATACGATAGATAGATAGATAGAATAGAAGATAGAATAGATAGATAGATAGATAGATAGCATAGAATAAAGAATAGATAGATTAGATAGATAGATAGATAGATAAGATAGATAGAATAGATAGATAGATACGATAGATAGATAGATAGACATAGATAATAATAAGATAGATAGATAGATAGATAGTATAGATAGATAGATAGATAGAATAAGATAGATAATAGATAGAATAGATAATAAGATAAAATAGATAGATAGATAGATAGACATAAGATAGCATAGATGAAATTAGATAGATAAGATAGATAGATAAGAAAGTAAATAAATAAAAGATAATAGATAGATAGATAGATAGATAATAGATAGCATAGATAGATAGAATAAGCATAGAAGATAGATAGAATAGATAGATAGATAGATAGATAGATAGATAGATAGATAGAGGGGGAGAAGGAAAGAGAGAGAGAGAGAGAGAGCGAGCAACTGCACTGGTGTCTTTATGTAAGTCGGCGCGTGTGAGTACGTGCGTGCATATACGTATGTGTGCATGCGTGTTTACGCTTACATATGTGCCTATGTACGTTTGTGTATACGTGCATATTTAGCACCGAGAGGATGGGACATGTGGGAGGGGACACACACGTGTTCTAAGAGAGAGAGAGGGAGAGAGTGAAAACGTTCAAATTGCAGACAACTCATGCATATCTCCTCTTTTCTTTCTTTGCAGACGTCTCAACAACAACCGGTTACGAAGCTTGCCCGATTCGATTTTCGTTCACATGCCAAAACTGTATAGACTGTAAGTATATGTGTTTCGCTGACGTAATACTTAGTACATATAATTATTTTCCTCGAGCCTCATCGACATAAAAATACCCGTAAATTCAGTACCGTATTCAGTACCGTATTCAGTATGTCACATAAGGTCACGTGTTAGCAATCTTAAACATTGGCTGCCATGTTTGCGACAAACACATGAACAGCTGTATAAAACAATAGCTTAGTGGTAGTAATTAACTAACATACGTAGTTACAACGCAGTAATAGTAATAACTAGTATAGCAATAGTAATAGCATAGTACAGCATAGTAATAGCTCCACTGCGCAAATTGTGGATAACGGAATTCTTCCTATAACTCACTAAAAGTAAAAATACACTGAAGCGAACCTATAAATATATACCTAACTAGCAACGAAATTACTGGTAGGTAAGTACACTCGTGACTGTAGGGTTAACGATAACGGCAGATAACATACTACAGAGAGCACCCGTGCAATTTTCGGGGATTAAGTGGGCCTTACGAGGGCCGACATGTTATGTTTCGCCTTCGACACGGTAGTATAAACACGGGCGGAAATGTATCGTGGAACAGGACCGACATTAACAGTTGAATGGCGAGCGATCATAGGATCAGCTACTGTGTATGAGCGACGTCGCTTCGAATTCGAGTTTTTTGCTGTCACGTGTGCTCAGCGAATCCTGCGTGAGCTGACGGAGCGGCGGCATCACGCTGCGAACAAGTCTGACGAATTCGAGCCAAACACCGAGTTCGACAAAAGGTGGCGAGAGAGAGCGAGTCGTATATAATATAGAGTCGGCTTTTCACTTCACCTGCAGCGACGCAGGTGTGCGCTGTGCGGGGGGAAGTTTTCCCCCGGCCTCACGCGCGCGCGCGCACGCACGCACGCACGCACGCACGCGCAGCGCGGGCATTGTATTCCGGCGACGCAAGCGCCGCAGTGTTGTAATCCTGCGAGATCTTATTTGCACTCGGCGACCGCCTTTATGTTGTGCGTAGCGCCCGTTACCTCGCTAGTTAGCTTGTCGCATTCAACCCTGAAAAGAGCATTCTTATGCGGACCAGGTCGGGTCATTGTTGGCTTGCACGGGCGAAGAGAACGGGGTAGAAGCGGTTCATTGTGACGCGGTGCGGGCGGGGAAAATGGCGACGGGCCGATGTGTGGAAAGCAAACACGACTGTTTAGATTGCCCTCTGCGGCGGCTCGGCCCGTAATTGTCGCCAGTCTGATGACGGATGTGCGTCGTATATTTACCTGACATTTGCAGCCGATTTGGCCGCAAACTAACCATCCACTAATCTCTACGTCACACACGCACACGTATTTGCACGAGTCTAGATGGCCGAGTCCAAATAACTCCGCTCTCTCCACCCCTCTTCCTACCCCGTCCCGTTTATGTGTGTTTATACGCGGAATATCAACGGTTAAATATTTGACGACGACATGGCGCGTGCGAATCGTCGCGACGAAATATTTGCCGTGTGGTTTAGCAGCGCCGCTCGCTCATCGACCGTTTTTAGCCGCTCATCGCCGAGTCCTTAAACATCGCAACGTGTCTAATTGCGCGGCCAAAAGAAGAAGATGAAAAAACACACATATCCGCGAGAGAAGCGAATAAACGCAGCAGCCGAATTGAACTAGCGGCAAAAACCGAAAACGCTCGCGATATATCGACGAGCGAAGGGAAGATGTTAATTTTTGCATTACTGTCGGATATCGAGCCAGTTATACGCCGCTTGCCGCCGGAGGCTACGATTGCCGTAAAACAAACATTTTGCGTAATAAATCTCTCCACCGAAGCGGCGGAAATGGCACGTCGTCGGCATCACAACGTCACGATCTAAAGCGTTTAAAAGAAGCCGACCGCTGGAAAAACGCGGGGAAGCGGTTGCTCACGAACAGCTGGTCGAGCGACGACATGTGCACGCACACCCGCCCGCAGACGCGCCGTCACACAGCCAGGCACCCCATCACTTACGTGGGACCGCGGGAGCAATAAAGCATCATCATCCAATACGCTGAAATCCCGCGCTAATTTACGGCGTATTGCTTCCGTAATAATGATACGCCGCTTCCCATAACCCTGTTCCTCCGCAATTTCTGCGCCATTAAATTCCCTCTCCCCTCCCCCTCCCTGCGCCCGGTGACGTAGTCTCACGCTGTCTGCGACTGACATGCGCGCATGCGCGGATGCACCTCTTAGAGTTAAATATCTGTCGTTCTATCTAACCGCCGGATATATGGATGAGCATAATATACGTTCGTAACCCCTACCCCAACCACACCAGCAGTGCAGCGCCAGTATGTGCTGATATACACGTGTGCTGTGCGAGCGGTGTAAGAAGCTCTGGGTATGAGACGCCCGCAGTGACAGCCATATTGGCTGATTAGCGATTGGTCTCAAATTGAGATGACTGCGGTGTTTATTTTGCATGAAAAACCCGCTGCACGCTGTTACGATATTTTATTTGTTAGCTATATATATATATATATATATATATATATATATATATATATATATATATATATGTGTGTGTGTGTGTGTGTGTGTATGTATAGCTTACAAATAAAATAATACGATTCTATATATATATATTCTGTTAGTGGCGTTGATTTGTAGATTGAATTCACTGTGAAGATATCGCGAACGATGATTTTAGGTTTTTAACATGGTATTTGACATATTATATTAGAGAGCTTATGAAACAGAAATGGGGAAAATAGTAGACGTATCCATTACCCACCCGACTCCGCACAAACTGGCTACGCTCGCGCTGATTGGCCAAATTTCCCCCAACTTTAACTAATCACGGTGGTCTTAGCCATAATACACGCGTAAGAAAACAATAGAACTGCAACTTTCGTCTCCACGAGGAACGGCCGTTAAAAACCGTTATCCAGCCATATCCTTATTTACCCGAAAACTTGGAGATCATTAGCAATTAAATTTCCATTAGCATAACGCGAGAAATACTATCACCTATTATCCGAAGATAGTACACACCTGCCATACGACGTGACGTGGACATCGCATATACCCATAGATAAGTGTCAGACATATATGTATACCTACACTCACTATTACACAGACTATGTCGCAAATTCTCTATAAAGCACCCATAAAATCACCTCGGCGTCTCAGCGTTATAAAGCCAGCAGGCAGACAAGAGCAGCGAGCAATATAATAATTATATATACCGGCGTATTATAGGCAGTTAAATCGAACGCGTTGTATCAGCGCCGGTGCGTGCGTGTGAGCGACGCTGCTCCATAATTTCCCTTCCTTAAAAGCGGTGACGGGTAGATTCGATTGGAGTATATATTTAGATGCGAACAAATTACCGTGGAAAGTTAGCGCTCGTTGACATGCGAGCTACACGCGGCGCCAGGCTACCGTGGGCCACTAATCTCTATATACAAAGAGTATAGTAATAGTTAGTATATATATGTATAACACCAACAGAACGAACCAAGCACTGTGGAAATGCATGCGCGCGGTATGTGCCATGGCTTTGAGATTCGGAATCTCAGCTCGTCGCGTCTATGGGTGTCCGTCTTGCTTAATTTCGGTGATGAAATACGCTTGTTTCCTAGCGCAGCTCTGCTCTCTTCAACGCTTCGTTTTTTTCACTTCATGTTCTTTCGTCCTCTGTAAGTTTGTCGTTAATTCTCCAGTTTTTGCCGTAGAGTTTTCGCAGCGCGCGTTTTTCACTTTTCACGTTAGCGCCTTGTCAGGTCTAATTGTGTATAGGAATCGAACCGAAAATAGAGCTCAGCCACACATCTCTCTCTCTCTCTCTCTCGCTGGTATATCTCGTTCGCATCTCTCTGCCTCTCCTCCTTTCTCTCATTCTACTCTGCTTCTCTGTTCTCGCTTTTTTTTTTCCATTTCTCTCTCTCTCGTTCACTTACTCCTCACTCTCTCCGTCTCCAGAGTCTCTCTTCTTTTCTCTTTCGCCATCGTTCGCCATCCTCTCTCCTCACACAGTCGCTTCTGTATTGCTCCGGACGCTATCTCTTCGCTTCTCTTCATCTCTCCCCATATCTGTTATCTTTCTGGCTCCCCTTCAATCCCTCTCTCTTACTCTCACCCTCCCACCTCTCTCTCGATATTTTCGTCTCTATCTTACTCTCTCTCTCCTCTCACAGTTCTGCACACACACGTCTCTACTGCTCTCTCTCTCTCTCTCTCTCTTACTCTCCGCGTCTATCTCTACCCCATTCTAACATTTTCTCTCCAGTTCTCTCTCTACACAGCATCCTCGAACTGCTCTCAGCACATATCGCTACGCGATTATCCGTCCTTACTGCTTTGACCCATGTGTCCACACACTTATTCGAACCTGTCTTTCAACTCAAATTATTATCCCTATGTTTATTCGTCTTTCTCTCTCTCTCTCTCTCTCTTTATCCTTCCCTCGTCTCTCTTCTCTCCTCTCTCTCTCTCTGCTATCTCCTCTTTCTTCTTCTGCTACGCTTCTCTCTCTTCTCTCTCTTCTTTCTCTCTCTCTTACTCCTTCCTCCCTTTTCATCTCTCTCTCTTTCTCTCTTCATTCTCTCTCTTATCTCCCTCTCTCTCTCCTCTCTCTCTCTCTCAGAATCATTCTTCTCTCTCCTCATCTCATCCTTGCTCTGCCCTCACCGAGCCTTTGTCATTGCGGCGACTTACGGTCACCGAGTGGCACAGGCAGCTTAAAAATTGTCGACCGCTATTCGCCGAACCGAGTTACTTTCCGGCTCGCTTTCCGCGCGCGGCACACACACAACATACGCGCCACACACCGCGACCTGTCAACGCGGCGCACACACAGACAACATACTGACACACACAGCCAGGGGAGGCCACACCGCGCGCGCACGCACGCACGCACCGCACACACGCACGCACGCACGCACACACGGCACGCCGCACCACGCACGCACGCACGCACACACGCCACGCACGCACGCATATATCCACACGCACGACGCCACTCTACGCGCACACACACACACACA